CCGCTGATCTTAAGCAAAACGTTGGAGACCTCGTAATTCAGCCAAAGCCCGTCAACAAACCAAACACACGGGTGCCAAAAGGCATCCAAGCTACTTGAGTCACTTGGCCGCAACATGCCCACGAAGGTTTGAACGTCCGTCTGCCCAGACCCCTCTGACGCGGCGGTGGTCTTGGAGCAAGCAGCTGCAAGCTGTGCAAGTCCAGGGCTTCCAGAGCTTGTCTGGCCCCGAGGAATGCGTAAGCTGTTGTAAAGAAGGTTTGCCAGAAGGCCTCTGGATTCACAACCGCGGTCCATGAGGGACGATGCACCAAACCTCCCAGAGCAAGGATCGTGCAGGAGGAATATGCAGATTGAACCATCACCTCCGAGACAACTTGGCAACGAAGCAGGCCGAAGAAGGTGTTGATCGAGATGAGCCACAAGTCACTACAAACGAGGCACGCCTGGAACAGCACAATGCGATCATCCATGGCCGGGATGTCCTTCAGGTTGTAGACATCGAAGCCACCATATGTGCATAGCTGCAGAAACTGGAGTGTCACTTCAAAGGCATGGAGGACATTTACCTGAAGCCAATAGAGCTCGGTTCCTGGCCTCGTAAGATAAGCCTTGTATTTCAGCCAATCCTCCACATAGAACTTCAAAGCTTCCAGGCTCCATTTCGTCGGCCATCGCGGTCTCAGCGCCTCCTCCGGCGGCTTCCGCGCCCTTCGCCAAAGAAAAACCGTCTGGAGAAACTCCGCAGCGAAGAGCAGGGCCATGGCAAGCAAGAGGTAGCTGCAGATGATCTTCTGGTGCTTCAGGCGATCATCAGACTCGAAGACTGGAATCCTTAATCCCCTTGATGGGTTCCGTTAGGAATTCCTTTTTCGGTGCCACTAAAGGTTTAGGGCTTAGGGGTTACTTTACGGGCTTCGGAAGCTGAAAGAAGAAGGGCTGCCTTAAATTCTGGACGGCAAAAGAGCGCCAGACTGTCCAGGCGAGAAGCCAGTCTGGAGGCTGGTTGATGGCACTTTTGAGCCTTACTTGTCCCGATAGTAGGGGAACGAAAGGTTCAACCTCATTGAATTTCATATAGGAATTCGAACATTCCCCAAAAAGCTCCAGATTGCCGGGCTGTACTACTACGGAACCTCTCTGGGTTCTCTTTGGCGACCTCCGACACCCCCAGAGGCTCGGAGAGGATGAGGTCCGATGGAGCATAGACCTTTGAAAGAACTTTGCTGCCGACGCTCTGCATCCCACGCTCTAAACCGCAACGTACAGTCCAAGAATCTAGATAAGCCTGGGACATGAAGAGAACCTGAGAATCGCAAGGCTCAAGATGGTTTGTGGCCCGGTGAAGTGATGTTGAGAACTTGCAACTGACGTCTGCACCAAGAAACCAGCGCGAGGTTTACCATCTTCCCGGCACTACGATGCTGCGTGCGAGGGACCACCGCTCCCGAAATGGAAGCGGCGGCCCTGTGCAAACCTCCAAAGGATCCGTCAAGGGAACAGAAAGAGCACCCTTGAAGGGCTTCAGAAAAAGGATTGCTCTAGGAGGTGGATATCCAACTCTGCAAACTTCCAGCTCTTAGCGCTGTGCCTCGTCTCTATCGAGATTTACAGCTGCAGCAAAAAGAGTGGAACAGCCTCAGATCACGCTGCCTTGCTAGCCCTCTGTTG